GCCAGTTGGAACTCGAGCAACACAACCTAGCGGTGTGTGTCCTCCAGCTCCACCCTAACCGCTTGCAGATCAGCGTGGGCACTCTCCCAACTTTCACTCTTCTTCTTCAACTTTGCAAGCTGAGCCTTGGCCTCGTCTGCCTTGAGTTTGGCAGCCCCTGCCTTTCTCAGCAGCGCCCCTGCTAAGGTGGTTACCTCCAGTTGAGCAGAGTATAACCCCTTAGCAGTTCAGCTTCGTTGAATCTGGACGCTAAGTGCAAGGCTGCCTCTTCTACAATCCCTACCAAGCGGTCTGCCCCTGCCCTGGCTGGGCCTTCTTTTCCCTTCAGCCGCTCCGCCATCGCACGAGCATGGTAGATCGTTGTGGTCAGACTGACCCCCCCTCCTTGAGGTGCAGGGCCCCCCTGGGGCTGTTCTTCCTTCCTCGACCCAGGGCCAGTTGTCTCATCTTCCACTTGCCCTTCAGGGGCGGCCCTTGCAACCCCTGCGGCAATCGCCGCCACCACTGGTACCACCTCCATGCCCTCTGAGGCGATGCCCACCACTTCTGAGGCAATCACTCCTCCTGGGATTCCCCCAACTTCCCCCCCTCTGCCTTCTTGGCCATACTGGTCTCCTTTACCCTCGTCTCCCTCCTCCTCTTCGGGGCAGGCTCTTCTTCACTCTGCCTCACCCTCTTCTTCTTCTTCACCACACCCAACGCCTCTATCTCCTTCAAAGACCTCTCCTTCAAAGGGTCTATTGGGGGCGGTCGCGGCACAAATTTGCCTAAGTCCTTCTCTCCCAAGGGTTTGGGGCGAGGTCAAATCCTCTATCTTGTAACCGGTTTTGGTGGTCGATCTGCCTGGGACTCTTTGAATTTTTGGGCTTTCGCAAGGATGGTCTGATCCTCCACCTCTTGAGCCCTCCTCCTCGCTTCCAACTCCGCTCGGTCGAGGTCCCCACCGCTCGGTTGTGGACCCAACCCTGCCTCAAACAATGCAGACGGCTGGACGAGCTCGTCCCATTTGGCCCTTTCTTTCTTCCTCCACTCCTTCACCCTCTTCACCCTCTCCTCTGCTGCTGCCCCCAACTTTGGCTCCATTGTCTTGGTGGGCACCTTCCAGATGGTGCGCACTCCAACTCCTCCACTGGTGGAGACATAGAACCACCGTGGTCTCCACCCCTTGATCGACGACGACAGACCCGCCACCAGCCCTTTCCCTGTTGCCGCCTGCAGCGTGACCCAAGTCTCTTGCTGCCCTGAGGCCTTGTAGCACGAGAAGAATTCGTCCACTGTCATGGCCGCTCCTTCGTTCGCCTTCGGCCAGGCACTTGCACAGGACAACAAGATCTTCCACGCGTTGGGCATTAGTTGGCCCGGCGCCACCTCCAAGCGATTTAAGACATCTACTACCACCTGCGGCAGGGGCAGCCTCAATCCTCATTTCAATGCCTCCTCATAAAGGGCAAACTGCCCTAGCCTGGCATCGGATGGCCTCCCCGTCGACGTCGGCAACGACAACTCTATTTCGGCAGGCACCTGGTATTTTTCACGAATAGCCTCCAAATCCGCTGCAGTGACCGTTGATTTATCTGCCTTTGTGTGCCAGTGATCAGGTTCTGCCTGGTTGATTGGCCTTGGAGCTGCTATCATGGTGGAACCGTGGGATCGTACAATCGACTCCCCCACCCTCTCCATCCTGTATTGCCGCGCTAACTCCACAGCATCATCATCTCCAAGTGGGTCCACCCTGACAATCGCACTTCCTTCTTGGGCCATTTCTGTGGTATGTTTGCGAATCGCTTCGGCAGCAGGTACAAGGAAATCGAAAAAGTGTTGCAGAGGTGTATTGTGAGCAACAAAGGAATTCACACTTGGAATATTTTGATTTTTCGTAAACAGGTAGGTGAATCGAATAATGCCAAAAGCCCACGGTTTGCCCGTATTCCAAGGATCCCAATTAATTTTCGCCAGTTTGAAAACTTTTCAAAATCATCTGCCAAAATTGTCTCTTCAACACCCATAATGACTTAACGTTTCATTTCTGATCCAACGCCTAATTTTCCCCCCTTACGGGATGTTGCCACGTGTACGACCACGATCCACTGTCTCCTCTCCTTACCCTGTCCTTTCCACTTCAAATCACCACGTGACACGCCGCGTCTCGAGCCCCACGCCCCTCCACCTCACCCTTTGCGGTCGGCCCTCTTTGTTGTCGACCATCCCACTCGGCCAACACCGCGGTCGGCCCTTCCGCTAGGCCAACCACTGCGGTCGGCCCCCCCTTCGCGATCGGCCCTCCTTGGTGTCGACCATCCCACTCGGCTGACCTTGCGGTCGGTCCTCTCCGTGCTCGGCCCTTCCACTCGGTTGCCCTGCACAGTCGGACCACCTCCCGCTCGGTTCACCCCCTCGATCACCCCTGTCAGTCGACCTCCATCCTGCCAATCCCTAACACACTCATCTGCGTCATTAATATTCCCTTCGTTGGACTAAAGCTGCACTCGAGAATGGGGGACTACTGACGTGTATAAGCCCATGAAGGCCACGAATCACCTATGGAATATCCAAGCCCATCACTTGGAGCCCAATGCATAACCCAGCTGGTGAGGTCCAGGACAGCTGGAGTCCAACATGGCATAAAGAGCCAATGACATTCAGACACGCGGCAAGAGAAGGACGAGCCACATCAGCAGACAAAGATCTACAAAGTTATTGCCACTGCACATCACCATTAATGCAGCCCATCACAGCATTTATTACGACAACACCTCCCCGTCGGAACAGGACCCCCTTACCCTGAACAAGGTAAGCTACAGTATAGGCTTTCGGCGATGAGGCAGGTTGGAAGGAACAGCGAAATGATTACCAAAGGATATAAGCAAACGTTGAAGACAAGAAGAAGGTTAAGTTTTTCTATCTCTAATCTTTCCCTCTATACTCGACTTCTCTTCCTAACTTGCCCGTCGGAGGATTCACTGGGGGATTACCCCGTTCCCCGTTGAACTTGCTTGCAGGTTATCTGGTGGGCTTGATCATTTGGACTTGGGCTTGAGGAGCTTGGACCAGTCCGATCCATTCACTGGGGCAAACTGTATCATCATATTATATTCTAACATTTCTTATATTCTTTCATTATTCTCTCTATATTTGAGTATACTAATTCGATTATCGGAAAACTCTTGAAAAAGACACTACCATTGAGTCCTTAATAATTTGCTTACAAGTTATGGAGATTCAGGCTGTGTTTGATTTGCTTTTGAGAAATAAATTTTGAAAAAAAAATTTAAAATTTTGTTTTTATTAGTTTTTTTGGAAAAAAAATTTCAAATTCACTTTCTCTCCCCCACACATCAATCAATCACTTTTTCTCTCTCTCCTTCTTGAGAAATTTTTGAGTGCAAATAAGGTAAGTGCCATGTGGTACCTTTCTTTTCTCTCATTGGTTAAGAGAGTGGAGGTTAGATTTATGTGTTGGGTGATGGGGAGACAACATGGGAGGCTACAGTATTTGTGATTAGTTGAAGGCATCACGTGGCATGCCACATGGTACCCCATCTGCACCCAATAATTTTTCCTCCTTCTCAATCACTTTTTTCTCTCATATACATCTACTCAATTACAACAAAATATCAAATCATCCCATATTCTAAAACTATTTTCAAAATATACAACCAAACAAACTAAAAAAATTTCTAAACTCTCTCTCCAAAATCTTTTTTAAAAATTATCTCCCCAAATCAAACTAAACACACCCTCAAAGTCTGACCCATAACTTCAATTACCCAATAGATCAAGTAACTGCCATAGATTCGTCAGATACTATATATTATCAATTGACAAATTGTACTGAGACTATTAACATTACCTACAACATTTTCCTTTGCAACGTGGCCAAAGCTTGAGAGATGAGGAAGTGTTACAATTTCCCTAAGGGTGCCGCTATCAAGCTGCTAGGGACCTTTAAAAAAAATTTAACCAAAAAGACTTAGACCCCCTTTTTGGAAGCAACCCCCACGACCCCTTTTGCCTTTCATTGGTCAAAAAAATTTTTTTTTTTTTTTTTCTTCTCTCCCACTCACCAACCCCCACGTACGTGTGGGGGTGGTGGGGGTGGGAATCTGAGGGTATGTGTGGGGGTGGTGAGGGTGGGAATCTGAGGGGGTCTGTATCGCCACTGTAAAAGATAAAAATTAAAATAGTCAATGTTTACCTCTATTAAAAAATTATTGACCCCATGTAAAGACATTGTGTGTTTGATATTGTATTTTATTGACCCCATTATTGATCTTCTTGAGTTCAGGATCTAATTTTATTTAAATGATTGCTTGGTCACATATAACCAAAAAAAAAAAAAAAAAATGTTTGATACCGTTGACAATAATATTATAATTTAACATGTTCAAAATATGAAATTTCATTGAATTAAATTGTCAAATAGTATGAATATTTTAAAAAACTTAATCTATTTATGATTTAAATATTTGTTATCGGTTAACAATGAAAACTTAATTGTTAGTACAAGAGAAGCTATTTTTCTATTTTTGTTAATGACCTTATCTATTAAAATTTCTAAGGCCACCACTATTTAAAATACAATTAAAAAATTCATTTTTTTATTTAATATCTTTAGTGATCTTTTTTCAAAATTATATTATTTTTTTTTTAACTATTCAGATTGGTTTTTTGTAAATGAATTTAAAAAGTAAAAATTCCCCAAAAAAAAAAAAAATAGGCCAAAACAGGCAACTGTTTTTTGCACCCTTTTTTTTGGGGGTCCTTTCTGAAAGAAAAAAAAATTCAAAGTTTTACTTTCATAGTCTACCTAATTGAATAAAACCTAAATATAAACTTTTTTTATTTTTTTATTTTTTTAACTAAAAAAATCATTTAAAAAGCCAATCTCAAACACGAGTCAATCCAGATTTGACATACATTAGGTTGGATTGGGCAGGCCATTGGTCCTGGTCATCCTGCTACTGCTAATTCTATTGGGCAAATTGCAAATTCCTAGGACATCGAAAAAATATTTGCATTTCCATGGTGATGTAAATTTTCTGCATGCATGGTACAATTTCTTCATGTGTATAGTGCAATTGTTTTTTCACTATATCACTGATTTGCAATTTTTTCAATTCTATTCCTATGACATTTCTAACAAAATTTTATTCTCCTCAACAACATTACTCTTTCTGGGTCATTCATTGTCTTCTCAAGCACAGGAATTATGGAGTTCCTCAACTGACTGGTTACTTGTTTCCTACTTTGAATTGCACCAACTCCAAAGACCTTGTTACATCCATAACCCTAAAATGACTTCAATCAGCATAATAGATGCCTATCCCAATCCATAACTGCCATGAAAAAACAGAATAAGCAAATAAAACAGGCTCCTTTTTAACTACTAAAGAAAACACAACAAAATGAATTCCATCATCAAATGTCCCGCCTACTCGTTTGTCATTCAAACGATTTCCTGCTGCTTCCAGACATCTGAAAAAATATGACTGCAGTGAGAAATTTGCAGAAGGCAATTAAAAAGTCATTCCCATGAATCACAGAATCACTTCAACAAGTTTGAAAAAATAATAATAATAATATCAGAATTTGGAATGTTATGGTCATTAAAAGGTATAAAGCATAGATTTTAATCTTTTTTTTTTTTTTTTTTTAGATGAAACAAAAAAAAAAAGAAGTATGCAACATGCAAGAGACCTGAGCACATTGGCTAGATAATCGACTGCTGCTGGCAATTACCATCAAGGGTTTTCGAACTACTTATAAATGTTTATACAAAAAATTGCGAAATCCAGTCATCTAATGAAGCATTCAATGGGATGAAAAAAGGGAACATGACTGCCTGCAGAAAAATTTCACAATTTCTTCGATGGCAATTACTTCACTAGAAACCATTTATCTTTCTGTACCTGTTCTGAGAAGGTCCCAAGGCAACAAAGCAAGTCACAACACTCCAAAACTTTTCCCAGTCCCTACTTAAAGCTCAAGACTATATCCACCTTTAAATTCTGCACACCAAGGCTAATTCTGAGTACAGCCAGCATTCAAGAGCTGTGGAATTTGAAGGTTGTCAAGACCCAAATCATGCAGAATATGATAAGGCAACCCAAAACTAAAAGAGAGTATAGAAATGGCTAGGTGCTTCCTTAACATTTTCAATTAGGCACAATTAGTTACCAAACAAAACCAGAAGTTAATCTCCTGAAGCATTGTTATTTTCTCAGCGGGAAACATCAAACAATAAATATTGAGAAAATTGGTTGGAGGTTTTCACTGCCGATCTCCAAGGGGCACTTCATTCCATGTTCACCTTATTTGTTCAAAATCACCGTAGTAACCATACAAAACTGCAAGCTTACCAAAGGCTGGTAGCCAGAGAAGTATTCACATACTTTTTAAGTTATTAACTTACTTTTAAGGATATTGTACATTTCACTATTTCCTCGAGTGCATAACTAACTACAACATTCATAACTCAGCCTTGTAAGAATTATTTGGAGATCTATGATTCCTTGTAAGCTAAATTTGTTTGTTGGACATCTGTCTGTCCCTAATAAGTTCTCATAGTTGACTAATGCATGTTGCAAGATTGACTATGTTTTTCATTTTAAAAAAATGATGAGCAAGAGTAAAATAACATTAAACCCAATATCAATGCCAAACTCACAGACAAAAGTGACGACAAAAATAAAGATCAAACCCTATACACTCTCTACAAAATCAAGAAACTGATTGATAGAAAGGCTAATAACCCCTAGTCCGATCTATACAAAAAACAAACCAAACTCTTACAAGGGGAACTCTCGGAAGACCTTCAATTTTACTCTCTAGATAATCTACATAAAACGTAATGGAATCAGTGACCAAAGCTTCTTTTTTTCTTCTTCTTCTTCTTTCAATTCTAGCCACCAGCCAACTCTAAAGAAGCTCTATAACCTAGAAGGAAATGTCCACTCCACCGCAAACCAAGAGAGCACCAATGTCCAAAGATCTTTTGCCACTTGGCACTAAATAAGAAGATGATTTACCGATTCACCATCCTCTTTGCACATGCAACACTAATTCATGATGTTCAAGACGGGTTATTTGAAGTTAAGATTTTAATATGTGTTGGAAAGGATAGGTGGTGTGGGGCGGAGGACTTTGGAGGCGAGGTTTCCTTTATTTTTTGTATTGCTACTAGTGGGGAGGCGAGGGTGGCATCTTATGTGTTTATGCAAGGTCAAGTCATAGTTTGGAATGTTGGGTTGCGTCATGAGGTGCATGATTGGGAGTTGGGCAACTGGAAGACTTGCTGGGTTTTTTGTATGGGCTTCGGTTTAGGGGGGAGGGGGAGGATACTTTGTTGTGGGCTTGCCCGAAGTCCAAAGGGGTTTTTTTGGTGTCCTCTTTCTATCATTCATTGGTGAGAGGGGATGGAGCTCCTTTTTTGTGGAAAAGTGTTTGGGTGGTGGGTTGTTCATCCAAAGTCACTTTGTTTGTGTGGACAGCGGCTTTAGGGTGCATTTTGACTATTGATAACTTAATTCGTCGGCGTCATATTTTAGTTAATTGGTGTTGCATGTGTTGTGGAGATGCGGAAATAGTGGATCACTTGCTTATCCATTGTTTGGTTGCTTCATGCCTTTGGATGTTCATTGTTTCAATTTTTGTGTGGTTTGGGTTCAACCGGGTTCAATGGTGGAGGTGTTGAAGAGTTGGGCTAGGGGAAGGGTGGGGAAAAGACGTCAGAAGACTTGGTTGTTTGCTGGCAATTGCTTGATGTGGCTGATTTGGTTGGAGCGAAATAGGTGTATCTTTATGGGTGTGACTCAATCGGTTCCATGGCTGGAACGACATTTGCTTATTGTGTTACATAGTTGGATTACGGTTTCAATAGCTCTGGATGTGCTAACTTTTGTAGATGATTTGATTAGTTAGTTGTTTTGGTTGGTCTTCTATTTGGTTTACCTTGCTGGCTAGCTTATAGTTGATTTTTGTATTCATTGCATCACCTTGATACTTTCTCAATAAAGTTTGTTTATTTATAAAAAATAAATAAATAAAAGAAGCTACCTGGGGTCCTTCTACCAAAATGGCTCTCTACAAGATAGAGGAATTACGCTGCCCATTCTTTTCATTTTTTGGGGGGGTACATATTATGCTGCTCATTCAAAACCTCATAAAAAGATTTCACCTCGAAACACCGAACTCGTCAACCTCCATCTCACGAATCATCTCTTGTCCCAATGCTATCATACAATCACTAGAACATCCCCATCAACTCAACCATCTCCCAATTGATTAACCTCCTACATAGCAACTATGAAGCATGGACACTCCAAAATTGATGCCGTAGCAGTGTCCGACACGCGGACACGCCGGGGACACGCCGTGGACACATACGAGCGTGTCCCTTTAATTTAATGATTTTTTTGGAAGGGGACACGGCGGGGACACGCGTGTCCATTTCTGGCGAAATGGACACGCCATGGGACACGGCGGGGCTCGTTTTTGAATTTTTTATATTTATTTGGGGTCAAAGTATAATATTTATAAAGTAAAAAAAAAAAGAAAAACAACGGGCAAGCCCTAATCGAACAACTAAGGAGTAAAGGAGTAAAATCAAATCTGCAAAGACCTTCTCTCTCTCAGTCGAAGCCCTCTCTCTCAGTCGAAGCCCTCCGACGTCGATCGCAGCCCTCTGACGTCGATCGAAGCCCTCCGACATCGATCGAAGACCTCTGATCCAGTCGTCTTAGTCTCTGTTTCAGTCGATCCAGTCGTCTTCGAAGGTAAGCCTCTCTGTCTGCATCTCTGGCTCTCTTTCTCTTTCGCCTCTGTCTCCTTCTCTTTCGCTCTCTCTCTCTCTCTCTCTCTCAGCTTTCGACTGAGATGAGATTGATTTTTATTAATTTTTTTATTTTTTTTACGTTTATATATGTTATATGTAATAGACTCTTTTATTTATTTATTTTTTATTTTGATATATATTAATAAGACTCTTTTTTTTATTTTTTTTTATTTTGATATATATTATATGTAAGACTCTTTTTTATTTTTATTTTTATTTTTATTTGTTTATATGTTTATATATATATATATGTAAGAATTTTTTTTTTTAATTATATGTTTATATATAAAACTGTATTTAAATTCTGTTTTTTTTATTTAAACTCTTTATTTAGATGAGGTTGTTTTTTTTAATTATATGTTTAAATTCTGTTTTATTTAAATTCTATTTAAGCTCTTTTTTTTGTTTTTTTTTATTTATCCTTCTAATGTTAATGTTAATTTATAGGAAAAATGTCTAGTTCAAATTCTGCCAATAACATACCATCTGCCTTTGATGCTGAAAATGGTAAGCCACTGTGGAAATATGGGACTAGATTAGAAAAATCTGCTGCAAAAGGGGGGAATTATACTTTTCAATGTAACTTTTGTAGGGTTACACGTAAAGGTTCATACACTAGGGTAAAAGCCCATTTGATGCAAATTAAAAATCAGGGGATAGAAGTGTGTCCAAGAGTAACAAGTAAGGATAAAGCAGATTTTGAGAGAGCAATTGCAGAAGCAAAGTTGAAATTGAAAAACTCTAGGTTGAAGAAAGTCCCATTGCCTCCTCCTAGTTCAAGTGCATCATTAGGTTTATGTTTTAATGAACCAGAGGAGATATATGGATCAAAAAGGAAGAGGTCAACTGCTTTAGGGAGTGGAAGTAGTAGTAACCCTGTTATGAAAGTATTTAACATTGGGGCTCGAGAACGACTAAATAGTGAGATAGCTAGAATGTTTTATTCAGCAGGCTTGCCATTTCATTTGGCAAGAAATCCTTACTATGTTAGTGCATTTACTTTTGCTGCAAATAACAACATACAAGGATATGTACCACCTGGGTATAACATGTTGAGAACTACATTGCTTCAAAAAGAAAGGATAAACATTGATAGGTTGTTAGATCCTATTCGAGACTCATGGAGAGAGAAGGGGGTGAGTATAGTCAGTGATGGATGGAGTGATTCCCAACGAAGGCCATTAATAAATTTTATGGCTGTTACCGGAGGTGGGCCTATGTTTCTTAAAGCGGTTGATTGTTCAGGGGAAACAAAGGACAAATATTTTATTTCCAACTTGATGAAGGAAGTAATTATGGAGGTTGGGCCTAAAAATGTGGTTCAAGTCATTACAGATAATGCCGCAAATTGCAAGGCAGCCGGGCACCTAATTGAAGCACAATTTCCTCACATCTTTTGGACTCCTTGTGTTGTGCACACCCTCAATCTTGCCTTGAAGAATATTTGTGCTGCCAAGAATGTGGAAAATAATTCAGTTGCATTTGAAGAGTGTAATTGGATTAGTGAGATTGTGGGTGATGTGATGATGATCAAGAATTTTATTTGTAATCATTCCATGAGGTTGGTAATGTACAATGAGTTTGTGAGTTTGAAACTTTTTTTAGTTGCCGAGACACGCTTTGCTTCTTCTATTGTCATGCTTAAGAGGGTCAAGTTGATAAAGCAAGGTCTCCAAACAATGGTAATCAGTGACAAATGAAGTTGTTATAGGGATGATGATATTGGCAAAGCCAAGTTTGTGAAGGATAAGTTATTGGATGACTTTTGGTGGGATCAAGTTGACTACATACTTTTCTTTATTGCTCCTATTTATGACATGATTAGAGTTTGTGACACCGATAGACCTTCTCTTCACTTAGTATATGACGTGGGATACAATGATAGAAAAAGTGAAGATGGTGATATATAAGCATGAAGGAAAGCGACTAGAAGATGAGTCTACATTCTATAATGTAGTACATCAGATTCTTGTAGACCGGTGGAACAAGAACAACACACCACTTCATTGTTTGCCATACTCATTGAATCCAAGGTGATTACAACACAATTTACTATTTTTATTAATTTAAGTTTAATATTATTCTTTCACATTTATAATGAGTAGTACTTTTTTTTCATTTTAGGTATTATAGTGATGTGTGGCTGCATGAGGATCCAAGCCGAGTTCCCCCACATAGGGATGAGGAGGTTTGTCTTGAGAGAAAAAAGTGCTTGAAAAGGTTCTTTGATGATCCAATGGAGCGCACTAAAGCAAATTTGGAGTATGCTAAGTTCTCAACAAAAGAGGGGCCATTTGCTGACATTGATTCCATTGGAGATAGATGTGATATGGGTCCTCATAGTTGGTGGGTTGTTCATGGTGCATCTGCACCCACTCTTCAATCTTTGGCTTTAAGGCTACTTGTGCAACCTTCTTCTTCATCACGTGCTGAGAGGAATTGGAGTATATACTCTTTTATCCATTCAATGAGAAGAAACAAGATGACACCCCAACGTGCAGAGGACTTGGTTTTTGTTCATAACAACCTCCGTCTTTTATCAAGGAGAACCCCACAATACCATGAAGGAGAGACCAAGTTATGGGATATTGCGGGCGACACATTTGATTCATTTGATGATGTTGGAATGCTTGAGGTTGCAAATCTGTCACTTGATGAACCTGAGATGGAGGTCGTGTTGTTTACAGATGATGGAGGTGCAAACGAAGAAAAAGGTGGTGATGCTAATGATGATGAAGACGTGCAAGAAATTGGATCTACTTGAAGTTTTGAAAGGCCTACTTCTTTTTTTTCTTCTTCTTTGTCTCTTATTTGGTGTTTTTGTGAAGAATATTGTTGGATGTTAGATGTTGGATGTTTTCCCTTATATTTATTGTTGGATGTTAGATGTTGAATCTTTTGCCTCTCTTATATTTATTGAATTAATGATACTATATTAGTGTTTGTTAATTTTGATTTAGAATGAATGTAATACGAATCTACATAACACATAAAAATATATATATATATATATATAAAAAATCGCCGTCCCCTGCCGTGTCTGTATCCCCATTTTTTGGAAATTGCCGTGTCCCGTGTCCGTATCCGTGTCCATGTCCGTGTCAGTGTCCGTGCTTCATAGCATAGCAAGACATCCCAATACTTGTTGCTCCTCTCTTCATAAATTGTCATCTACTATAGCTTCTGTGTTTGCTGCTTCTCGAAAAGCTGAAGGGAAAATATCCACCATCCTCTCTTCCCCATTCTAGATGAAGCCAGAACTTCACTTTCCTACAATCCCCAACTGTCATGCTAGTGTGTTACTCAAACTAATACCAAACTTTTCGTAGTCCCATACCAAAAGGCAAATTGACCTCTTAAGATGTCCACTTCCCCCAATCACATCCATACTTCAAGGCCACCACCCACCACCCTTCTCTACCACTATCCACTTAAAAAACTTCTAAAGCCATTTCAACAATAGGGTCTCAATGAAGATCTCCAAACTTTCGATGCCCAAACCACCTTCCTTGACTGGGGTTAAACAGAATCCCAATTCACTAAATGACACTTGAATTCTTTTCCCATCCCTCCCCACAAAATCCCTTTGAAACTTTTATAGCCTCTTAGCAGCAAAGGACAAAATGTTCAATAAGGACATGAAATATGTTTATGCAAATTCAGTGACCAGGGAGTAAATACAAATAATGTATCTAGAGGACGTCAATTACCTAGGATCTATGTAAGAACCTCATGCTAGCACACTTTATACTTTAAACACAAATTTATGTTTTTTATTAACTTGGACAACCCAAATATATCTCGTATTTACACAACAATTATTTCATGTGTAATGCATTTAATTTCCTATTTCATGATACCTAAAAGTTGAATATGAGTACTAATTGAGATCATAACACTATGGCTTACAAACCTACAGGGCTTTAAATCCTCCTGAATAGCACAAGCCAGTATTCAATTCAGATGACTCATATGAAATCCTAGAGAATTATTAGAGTTCAAAACAAATTGATAATAATACTATTATACACTAATTTCAACGCAAGAAGTTGGAGATCATCACATCCAGTAGAAGACAAAATGCTACCTGATTTCAGTTTCTCATCAACAGCCCAATCAAGAGCCCTCTGAGCTGGTTCGGTTAATGGAGGATGCTCGGGGCTGAAAAAATACAAGTCAGACCTTCCAAGTAAGTTTACAGTTTCATCTCGCACTTTGAAAAGAGTAATTCCATTTGCCCTCAAAAATTTTGCAGCTAAACTGGTTCCTGCAAGGAAACAAAAGACACGATATGAATAACGTAACGAAAAGCAAATATCGATGCCTTTAAAATGTGACATGCTGTAACTTCAACCAAACAATCCCTGTAAGCTTGTTCGGGAGGAGCTAAAATGCCTAAATAAGCGCAAAAAAACAAAATAGGCTAATTTAGCCAATAAGACAAAATGTCACATTTAAATCATAATCATTTCATTTTTTTTTTTCTCACAACCATCACAGCCAAACCCAAAAAAGATAAAAAGTTCTTTCCAAACAGAACTAATTTAGCCAGGCTAAATTAGCCAAAAAGCTAGGCTAAAAATTAGCTCTTCCCAATACCTACTACTGCTACTACTACTATGGATCACATTGGACCACCCATTCTCATTTCAAAATGTCACAGTGTTCATCACACGGGCAATGAAGCCCGGTAAAGCAAAATTGGTACTCAAACTACATTTGAAGATAAACAACTACACTATAAAACATGAAAATTACATTGACCAAAACCTTAAATTATATGTAACATCTCCACAAGTTGCTTAAAATATCTAAATCATGTGAAAAAAAACTGTGGCAACCATGTCCTTACATGCAATAAATAAAAATAAAAATAAAAAATCACTAACCCTCAACCAAGATACCCATCAAAAGAGCTTCAGTCCCAGTATTTGGATACTTGAGCTTCCTCGCTTCTAGCTCGGCCATCGCGAACGACTTTATAGCCCTCGCCGACCATCTAAACACCACCACCAACCCCACATCACCAATCACAAACTAACTCATAAGCAGCAAATACAGTATAATAATCATAACTATCAAAATAAAATAACACTAACTTTGGAAGTTTTTCAGAAGAACCCCTCTCTGGTTTCCTACAAAAACCCACATTAATCAGCATTAGCAACAAAACCATATCGTATTTTCTACTTGTATGTGAGTGAATTGTGGAACTTACGCAGTTGGGAGGCTAAACGAGACCGTTGCGACAGTTGACGGGCGGTGATTTGAAAGGCGATTCCAGGGGTTGGTGGGCTGAATTGAGAGATGGGTTCCGATGAAAGAGCTTAGCGAGTTTTCTGGTTTGAGAATCAGAGGATGAGGTAATGGAAAATTGTCGGATTTCCTAAAAGAAGAAGGAATTGGAAGTAGTGATATGGTATTAGTGGCCATTAATTTGAAGAAACCCTAGGTTTCGTGAGGAAAAGCTCTTTGTTGATTGCTTTGTTTACTAGTTTGTATTATGTATTGTTTGCATATACATTGATTTGTCTACCTCTACACTTTCCGGAAAACACTTGATGAATAGTATAGAGCTCTTAAAAAGATAGAAGTTGGAACCACTGCGAAACCCGTATTATCTCCTCCTACATATTGATTATTTGGTAATTTTGAAACATTAATTCACGCTAATTCGGGAGCTTCTATTTCTGAACAATTATGCTTGGTTACCATTTTTTAAAAATACTTTTTAAAAAAATTTATTTTTTTATTTTTCGTATTTTTTTTTATTTTTATTGAATTTTTTTAATATTTTGAGTAAATTTTTTAATTTTTAGACATACCTAACATAAATATACCTAAAAAGTAAAAAAAATTGAAAAAAACCTTTTAAAAATTCACTAAATACCAAAAATACAAAAAAAATACGAGAATTCAATACATTTTTTTATATTTTTATGTATTTATTAATTTTTAAAAATATTTTTTCACAAATTTTTTACTTTTTAGATATATCTAAGTAAGGTGCATCTAAAAAAGTAAAAAAAATGTTTAAAATTTTAAAAATATTCACTAAAAACAAAAAAACACGAAAACCAAAAAATTCAGTTTTCAAAAAACTTAATTCAGAAAACTCAAACCAAACACACTCATTTGTCTTTGTCCACATCCTTTTTAGTTCAAACATTTAAAAAAATAAAATTTATTCATTATACATATTTTTATTCCGATTATATTCCCATATACTCAACTTTCCAACCCTCTTAATCCACATACCTTCCACACCAGCAAACAATGTTCAAACCCTAATCCAAACCAGTAACCACCTCGCCGACGGTGACACAGCACAACCGTTACTACCTCTCTTTTACTTCCAGTCGCCATCCCCAACCCTTCTTCCACCCACCGATGACACTATCACGACCCCCACCTCATCTACTCGATCTCCTCTCTCTTTTTTTCTCTCCTTTCAGTCATGAAAAGGAAGGCGATGACGACAGTAGCAGTTCACAAACGAAATGAGGTTTCGGATGTTGATGGTCGAACTAAATTCATTGGTTCGATGGTTGATTTTCGAATTGAGGCAATTCTTTCGATACTAATAGTCCGAATGGTAAGAAAATGAGTCTTCTTCCCATATCTAAGTTCCACAATGCGTCTCTCTCTCTCTGTGGATTGAGGATCGCGAAGGAGTGGGAGCTGTGGTGGCAGTGGTGTTGCGTTGCGAAGTGGGGGGTTACAGGGGTAGTGAGGAAAGTGAGTGAGCAATGAGCGACAGGGTGGGGAGGCGTTTCGATTCAAGAAAAGGGGGCTGAGGGGGAGGCGACGAAGGAAGAGATTGTGTTGAGGAAGGGGACGACCAGAGGGGGTGGCGGCCAACGGTGGAAATAGTTAGGGTTATGGTTATGGTTTTGATGGAAGAAAAAAGAGATATTTTGGAAATTTTATTTCAAAATAAAAATGTAATTAAAAAAATATCATTAAATGCGTGAAAAAAGGGAAAGTAATGTGTGCAAATAGAAGCTCCCCGTTATTTGTCATTTGATACTTACTAAAAAATAATGTTAGAGGTATGTAATTTTTATCAAATACTTATATGGGGACAAAAGTTTGTATCGATTTTATTTTGATAATTTAAATTATTTATATTATAGGATTTATTGACTATATATCATCTATGTAAAAAAATAGATTAATCAAATATACATAGCCCATGATCAGACTATAATTATGTTTTAAAAAAATTATTAAAATTATACTAATTATTTATTTTTTTAAATATAAATGTAGCCTTATTATAAATTATATATGCCTAATATACTCTCTTTTTTTAAAATTTTTTTTATTATGAATATTCCACACTTGATGAACTCTCTAATATAATGACTAACATCATTAGAACAGTGTCGTGCATTAGAGGCACAACCCCTTCTCGGGTTTCTCACATGGGTGCGTGACATACACCTATGTGGGACTTACACAAACCGTATTTGGTAAAAAAGTTGGAATTTTTGACATTTTTACTTCGGATACAAATTATCTTCTATGTTTTTAAAAATTATATCCCGTCCTTTGACATTTCAAATTTCATAAAAATTGACTCATTTTATGAATAAATTGTCAAATTAATTAACAATTTTTAATGTTATTAAAAATTTATTTCAATTAATAATTCAGGTAATTTTATTATATTATATAGGAGAGTAGTTAGAAATTTTATTTTTTCAATTAATTTTGTTAAATAAAAAATTCTGACAAATGAATATTTATAATTTTCTATAATCTGTATTTTAAGTAAAATTCAAAGAGTGTATTTATAATTTATCTTAAAAAGTAAAGTAAGTACTATAAATTTAACTAAAAAATAAGTTGAAGCACCGTTATCCGAAGATCACGACACAATTTTCCCCCAAAAAGGATGTATAGATTCCCTACAACAATCTTTGGTACAATAAATAATTTTGTAATATAAATTATTAATTGTAATTTTAAACATCAATAGTTTAGAAGTAGTTTAACATTTTGTTTAGATTATGTGATTTGGTGAGACATTATTAGAAATGAAAGGAAAGGAATTACTTTTACATTTTTGATTTTAAGTTTGGTGAGAAATGATGAGATGGTGAGAGAGAGATTGGAGATTGTGAATATCAATCAAAATATTGATATATATATATCAAAAAAAGAAAATTGTTCCTACAAAATATAAAAATTGAATCTATGTTCTCCATAGAAGCACAATTTGATGAAGAAAAAAAGATATTTTGATGTGTCATCATGGTATCCATGGGTCCAGGTTCCAGGATAATCAGTTGTCGACCTGATTTGACCCAACTCATAGGAAATGACCTACCACCAAAGCACCAGCAAAGTTTAACCATACACTACAGACGAGCCCATATTTCAATCGGAGTGTAGGGCGAGGTCTCCGAAGAGAGTTGGAGACAAAGCAACCATTTTTCGCCCTCCCAAGATTCGAACATGGGTCATGCTTGTGGAGAAAAATGCTTTCTTCACTAGGCCACCACCCCCTAGTGGTTTATGTTCTTGTAGAAGAAAAACACAATTTTTGAGCAATTTACAAAAATAATAAACTTCTAGTTATTCTTATAATAAAACATGGCTTGTAAGGGGAACTTTTGATAAGAAAATACTTATATAAATAATAATAGTACACTTACACGTTTTTATACCATATTCTACTATACTTACTATCATACTTATCAACACCATATTGGTGTAATAAATCTAACCACTCATGTATGTTTCCAATGCAACGCTAACAATTAGAGTGACACATAAGATGGTAGAAATAAAATTGTGCAAAATACCGGCTAATTCATTAAAACCGCACCGATCCATATTAATTTGCACCGTTTAATCCACTAATCGCGGATTAAACTTTAAATTTTATAATCCGCATTTAAAACCGTTCCGATCCGCTAGAGTTAATACGTATATATTTTTTAATTTCTAATAAAATATCAAAGTAAAAATAAGTGTAATAGAAATTTAAGATGTGAAATTTGTTACAAATTAATAATTATACATATAAAAAATATTATATAAAATTAGTTTGTGTTATATATATGAAAAATGTTATATATATTAGTATTAGATTATTTTTTATTTTTTTCCTCAAAAGACTCTTCCCATGCTTTCGGGAGCTTCTATTTACACACACTCATTCCCCTCTTTACACATCTTTTTCAATAAAAAATTGGTTCGGAAGTAGATTTCCGAAAATAAGCAATTGGTTCGGAAGTAGCTTTCCGAAAATAAACAGTTGGTTCGGAAGTAGACTTCCGAATTTTTATTATTTTTTCGACAATCAACTTCCGAATGTGTTTATTTGATGTCTATAATAGTAATTTCACCTGAAAAAAAATTTATAATAAAAATAATTTTTATGAAGTGTGTGCAAAGAGGGGAAGGTGGATGTGTAAATAGAAGCTCCCTGGAGTGGCCCGACTTTGACTTTTCACCCCTCTCTCTCTCTCTCTCTCCCCTTTTCCTCTTTTCTCTGTTTCTTCTCTTCTTCTTCTTCTTCTTCTGTATTTTCTCTTCTTCAATACAAGCAACAACAACTCTTCCAAATTTACCAGGAATTTGAAATAAGAGATGAAATATTGCAAACTCTTCTAACAACTCTTCCAAATCAAAATCAATACTCACAGATTTACTTCCAGAAAAAGTAGTTTGATGAATTCTAATAGGATGATCTAGAAAACAAGAGAAGTTGATTCATCAAACTAATTGAGTGTGAGGATTTCTGGTATTCTTTCCAATTTTACTTTATTGGGATGAGAGAGAGAGGAAAAAAAAAAAAACCAACAATATAACTAACAACACCACCCCAATTTCTTCATCATTATCATCCCATCTTTCTTTTAGATTAGAGATCTTTCTTAGGCACACGAGTGTACAGATTTTTGTATATATATATAGAATACAGAAGTTGGTTTACTTACAGAAAAAGAAGTTGATTCATTGATATGTTTCATTCGGGATGATCTATAAAACAAGATTGAACCAAAACCAAAATCAAAATCAAAATCAACCCACAGAATCAAAATCCAAAATCAATTCCAAAATCAAAATCAACCCACAAAATCAAAAAAACCAAACCCAAAATCAAGATCTAGCTTCGGCATCTCCTACGGCCTCTCCGTCCATGGCGATCTCCTTCTCTTCTCCTTCTCTCCTTCTTTTCTTCTTCTTCTTCTTCGGTCTGTTTTAAAGAGAAAACAAAGTAAAAGAAAAAAGAAAAAGAAAAAGAAAAAGAAAACCCAAAATGATGTCGTTTTGGATTGTCGAGGCATTCGGGCCATTGTTTTTTCGAGCTACCAAGCTTTATGCTCAGTATTATATATTATGCAAATACTTGATAATTGGTTAGAATATTCTTTAATTCGCCAATTCACCTAAAACCACCCAAACCTCGATTTGCCAATTCGCCTATCTGTCATTCAGTTTATAATTTTACTTTTAAACTGCCCGAACTACACCATACACACCCTTAGATAGAAACATATGATACTTGTAATTAGATTGGACGGGGCTCCTTGGCCGAGTGAAACTAGGCTTGGGGCTTGGGTTTGAAGCCCAACCCAACCTATGGGCCTTTTTGTTGGCCAATCTGTAGGTTTTGCTTGTCAGCTAGCGTGAGTTCATAAAAAATTATGAAAAAAAGAAATATATTATTAAAATCTCAGCTTGTTGAGCTAAATTCTTGGGGCAACACATTAGCCTTGCTCACGAGCCCATTTGTGGCAAGTTTATTCGACAAGGCTTAAGCCCGACCTAAGCCAGTCGGAAAAAAAAAGGGCAAACTAGGATTTTAGTTTTACAGCCTAGCCTGACTTGATGATGAAGCTTATCTACAATCAATGGAGTCCAGCATCGATTCCAATTCTAACTAGATATTGACATGAAAAGATATACATATTGTGCGTGTTTGGGAAGTGAGTTTTTATGTAGATTTTATTAGATGTAAGTTTTTATGAGATAAAAATTTTTTAGTGTTTGAGAAGATAGTTGGGTTTTTATGTGGTTGGATGTGATGTTTGTGAGAGAAAAAGTGAAATGATTATGGGATTGGATGTGATATTTTGTTTGGATGTGTTTTTTTTGGTTTTGTAAAACTTTTGTCTTTTAGTGGAAAAAATGAGAAAAAAATTTGGGAACTTGCTTCCCAAACACCACTTGGACTGAAGGGTCTAATGGCTGGGGCTTACCTTTAATCTACCATTTGGACTGAAGGGTTCAATCCGGCCCATTGGGCCCACTTTTGGGTTTTTTTTGATAATTTGAACCGTTCATATTTTAAGATTTGTTGAGTAAATTATCCTTGTAAAAAATCACGTCGAATAATGGATACTATCTATTCGGATCACTTTTTATGAACCGTTATTTTTTTGATCATATTTTTTTTTTCAAGACAAAAGTGATCCGAATATATAGTATCCGTTATCTGATCAACATGATTTTTTATAGAAATAATGTACTCAACAAATCTTAAAATGTGAACGGTTCGAATTATCAAAAAAGACCCAAAAGTGAACCCAATGAGTCGAATTGGACCGGACTATCCCAAATCTGGACCGGAGACCGTCCGGACCCTTAGCTAATTACCATTATAATTATGTAAACCTACTGGGAGGTGGTGAGTGGTGACAGAAGCAATCATTATAATGTAAACAAATACTAATATGTGTCTCTTAACACGATTAATACTGAGATTATGATGAAAAGTGCTTTGAAATTATGTAATTTAAAAAAAAAAATCTAAAATCAGTGGAAAAATATTTTAAAATTGATAAAAATGACTTGCGTTCTTCAATTTATTTATTTTATTGTTTTGTTTTGTTTTTTGGGTATTCTTTTTGTCATTTTTTAAACAAAAATACTACAAATTATGAAAAAGGTTTTACAAAAATCATTTTGAAGTCTTTGTTGGTTGACCGGTTTGTTGATTCTAAGCTTTTTTGGTCTTCAGGTCACAACTTTGAGACATGTTCGTAATATATTTTTCACCGGAGGTAGCATTTTTGTTGTTGTTGTTTTAAATGGCATGAGACAACATAAAAGTTCCAAAAAAATACAAATAAAAATTTGTAACACACATAAAAATATGGGCATTGTACTATGGGATTTGGTGGAAATGTACAAGTTTGGAATGGAAGGTCCACAACGTCAAGACTCCGAGGTACTCTGTTGTTCTTTCATTTTCACCGTTGAGTCCATTCTCACCATATATGCTAAATTGAAAGGTGCTTGTTACAGTTTCATTCTCTCTCTCTCTCTCTCTCTCTCTCTCTCTCTTCTTTGGAAATTCAAATCCTCTTCATTCACTCAACGCCCAACCATTCTAAAAAAACCATAACCCGTGCTCTCAACAGTCAAATTCTCAAAATGTTAATCCTCCTGCTCCTCCTCTCATCAAATTCATACCTAATGCCCTCGAAAGATATCCAATCTTTATATTCAATTCCTCTCATAATTAAATTCATTGATAGAATCAATTGAAGCAATTGCCAGATAACTTTATATATTTTCAGGTTTTTATTTTATTTTCCTTCTTCCTTTTTATATTTTTATTTTTTCCAAATTGTTTCATTTGATTTCCTCTTCTATATTTTGTTTGATCGGTGAGAAATGAGAGCAAAATGAAAGAAAATGTGAATTGAGATCCACATACATGCCTAATTTTTGGTTACCGTGGACATGATTAAATTAATTTGTTATTTGCGTGTTGATTTTCATAGGGAACTAAACAATGGCATATGAAGGACTTTGATTATTTTTCCTAGATTTTTTTTTTTCCAATGATCCAAACACATTGCCTTTGTGTTTCTCTGAATGGTTTATGTATAATGATTTGAATTAGTCTTGATTTTGATTTGATTGAGTTGGACCTGTCTTAAAAGCTTTCCTTCACATGAGAATCATTGGAGGAGGATTTAGGATTTTTTTTAGGAGGGGGGAGGAAATTGCATTTCAGTTGAGTAGTGAAGAAATAATTGTATTTTCATGATAGTGCAAGTGTTATGTGTGCATGGTGCAAGCCTTTCATGTGTGTCACAATTACACCGAAAAAGATTCTTAGCTATAATGTAATTATTTTGTAATCGTTTCATCTATTTGCAATTTGGTTTTTTTTTTTGGTAGAGCTAGTTTGATGAATTTTAAAAATGATATTAACTTGATTAGAACAAGTATTTTTAGTTTGTTTTTACCCCCTCTGTCTATATGACAGGAGAATAACATTTTTAGGTGGATAACAATAGGGTACACAATAAAAAAATTACAATTAAACATTGATCTTTTAATACTCTTGATAAAGATTTTCAAGAAATATCTCCGACATGCTGTTTATTTAGTAGGCAACAACCTTGTTGTCAGAGCTAAAGGTAAGGTTTTGCGAAGGTGTACTTCACGAAGAAGACGAAACCTACATTTTCTTCTTCATATGTAAAAACAAAACGAAAAAGGGACTACGAGATTTAACTTCAATTAATGTCGGCATCCCTGTGGTAAAATCTTCACAGACTGGATGTAGTATAGGAAAAATTAGATTATGATTTGTAGAGGGACAAAAATTAAAGTGTTAACCTAATTATTGAAGTCGCCTCTGTTAGGCGAATAGGTATCATTAAATGAACACGGCCCAACTAGAAGGCTGAACCAGATCTGACCCATTAGACTCGTATGGGTCCTCAGCAGTAAAAATATCTAAGGGAACTTGCTGAGGTTCTACTTGCTACAAGAAAGTAGCCGAGACAGCCCACCTTAACGCCACCAACTTACCAGAACATTGTAGCACTTGCTAAGGGAAGGGAAACAGAGGCAACTTCAGGCTCTACAACTACCTTCTGAGGCAAGACTCCCCAAGGTGATAGGTACCCCTGAGGGAGGCCTCCCCCATACAAACACGGGCTAATGCTTGGCGCTAATAGCATGTCCTAATGCTATTAGTCAGAGCTGATAGTAGTCCCCAAAGATATTGGTATACCTCGGCAACCCTGCAAAGATGGGAGTAGGGTAGCCTAATAGTGAGGGACTCCCTTTTCAATTTACCTAGGGTTTAGGCTTGCCTTGGTCGCACAAGAAGAATCAAGGAAGACCCATTGGGCTTGGTATAAAGCACAGCTCTTGCTGTGGCCTACACCTTGGGAAGTTGGGGAGTTTGCGGTTAGGTGGCTAAGGGTGGAGGAGTCACTGAGGTAGACACAAGTATGACTGATAGCAAGTCATGAGTCTTGAGAGTGCATGTCTTAGGAAACCAAACTGAGAAGGCAGATGCTGTAGCGAGTACCAATGCAGAGAGTGCCACCGAAATAGGTGCACCTTCTACGGTCCGTACCAAAACAACACTCATTGAGGTTCGCGCCAAAAAAGGTACATGCTGAGGCTTGTGCCAAACAAATAGTACAGTGGCACTTGCTGAGGTCTTGTACCAAATAGATAGTACATGCAGAAAGACACGTGTCTACCAAAGTTTGGTGGTCCAGCACAGAATATCCTGCGACACGTGTTGCTACACTATTTTGTCGCTTGGTATATTCAAGTACGAGGGAAAAGCCTATAAATAGGACCTATTTCCCAAAATTCATGAGAACTTCTTGGGATTTGGTAGCATATGTTGCCCATTTTTGCACTGCCACATGCTTATCCTGGATTACTTGCTCCACTCTCACCCAGCTACTCACTCTCCGGTCATCCTTAGATTATTGACTCATTAGCATAGCTTTGCCTCTCTAAGTATTATCATTATCTACTATTCATTTTGGACCCCCTACGGGATTATTTTAACAGTAGAAAAGAACGCATGTTCATTAACTTGATAAACATTTTCCATGACATATTTTCTATTTTTAAGGTGCTTTTCTTTTGTGTGACAAAATCCGTAATTCATCGAATTTTATGCATCTAAAGAAATGCCTTTGTAGTATTTTGTTTTCAGCGTTAAAGTGGATCTAGTTTTGCTTTTTGTCCAATTTAGTGTTGTGTTATTTAATTAGGTGCATATAGTTGATGATGGCTTATAGAGAAAATTGTTAGTTACAGGTATAATTGCTTTAAAATGTCTAAGGTCCAAAACAATCCAATTTCGCAAGTGGAAACAACATCTCTTCTATATGAACTCCAGGTTTTATCGGCTTCTCAATGATTCATTTCTTGTTTTCTTTTTTTTCCCTTGTAAGAAAATGTTATTGCAATTGTTTATATGTTTCTCATTTATTGATAAAATCAGATAATATGGGATGAAGTTGGGGAGTCTGAAGTTGAGAGGGATAAAATTTTGCTTGAGCTTGAACAAGAAATTCTAGAAGTACACAGAAAAAAGGTAGATCAGGCAAATCGAAGTAGAGCTCAGTTAAGACAAGAAATTGCTGATTTTGAAGCAGAGCTCGCAGATATTTGCTCTGCAATGGGGGAGAGACCGGTGCATATCAGGCAGGTTGGTTTATCTTTGGCTGAATAAAGATTTGGAAATTTGGAAAGTTTTTTTGTAGGGTAAATCATGCAAATGGTCCCTGTAGTTTATATGATGTGTCAATTTGGTCTATGTTGTTTTAATTTGCTTGATTTTGCCCCTTAATTTAATGGATTGTATCATATTGGTCCAATAAATAACGGTCGTTATGTTTAGTGGATGGAAAATTATCATGTGCTCAAATGATGTGTCAATTTGGTCCTTGTAATTTATACGATGTATCAATTTAGTCCATGTTGTTTTAATTCGCTTGATTTTGACAGGGACCAAATTAACACATCGAGTAAACTACAAGAACCAAATTGACACATCGTTTGAGTTTTCGTCCACCAAACCTAACTGCCATTATTTATCGGACCAATATGACGTAATCCGTTAAATTAAGGGAGAAAATCGAACAAATTAAAACAACAGGAACCAAATTGATACATTTGTGTCAATTTGGTTCTTGTTGTTTTAATTTTATCGATTTTGCCCCTTAATTTAATGGATTGTATCATATTGGTCCAATAAATAACGGTCGTTATGTTTAGTGGATGGAAAATTATCATGTGCTCAAATGATGTGTCATGGAAAATTATCATGTGCTCAAATAATGTGTCAATTTGGTTCTTGTAATTTATACGATGTATCAATCTAGTCCATGTTGTTTTAATTCGCTCGATTTTGACAGGGACCAAATTGACACATCGAGTAAACTACAAGAAACAAATTGACACATCGTTTGAGTTTTCGTCCACCAAACCTAACTGCCATTATTTATTGGACCAATATGACGTAATCCGTTAAATTAAGGGAGAAAATCGAACAAATTAAAACAACAGGAACCAAATTGATACATTGTGTAAACTATAGGGACCATTTGCATAATTTATCCTTTTTTTAAAATTTTTTTTTTATTGCATATATATATATATTGTAAGTGACACTTTCTAACCTCAATTTGACGTAGTTAAGTCATGTAAAAGTTATACACAATTTTGGGAAGTTCAAGTGGAGTTACAGAGAACTTGAAAAATATGATATGGTGCCTTATGTTAGATAGAAACAGGCATGCTGATTATGGCATGATCACTATTATGAATCATGATGTACAACTAATATTGATAGTAGAATGTGCAATTAACTATCATTAATGACCCAAAAAAAAAAGAAAAAAAGATTTTGTTAACGAGCTTTTTAAGGGCATTATTTGTAAACAAAGCTTAAAATAGTTATACATTCTTTATGACACACACTTTTATAAAGAATGTAACCCACATTCCAAGCTTGTTAATTAGTGCCCTAGGGTACTAGTTAACTAAATCTCCCCCCCCCCCCCCAAAAAAAAAAATATAATAATAAAAAATCACTTGTATTGAATATGCAATTAATGTTAGTTATATAGAATGTGCAATTAACAGTCATTGACGATTGCAGAAAAACTAACAAACACTGTGAGTAAGAGATCTAAAACCGATTGAATTTGATGCAACTTGTTGCAATGGTTTGATAATTGGTGCATGGCAGTTAAAGCATAACGAAAGATTATTTATGAAACTAACAAGGTCTAGACTCTAAACCATTTCCTTGAGCTAAACAAACCTAAAAAAATATAGAAATTTTGTTGAAATTCAAAAGATTGATTAAAATTTTAGCTACAAAAATTTGTAATTGGTTCTTTTCAGTCTAATCAAAGCCTTGGAAGCTTGAAGGAAGAGGTCAGAGCTATTCTTCCACAACTAGAGGAGATGCGGAATAGGAAATGTGACAGAAGGAATCAACTTGTTGAGGTTCTAGATCAAATTCAGAAGTTGTCAAATGAGATAAATATGTCTTGTGAGTACATTCCGCCATGCATAGTTGTAGACGAAACTGATTTGTCTTTAAGAAAGCTTGAAGAATTGCACAGAGAGCTTATGGCACTTCAAAAGGAAAAGGTAATCTTTTTATTATTTTGTTTTGTTTTTATTTCCTTTACTCTTCCAAATGTTGTTCTCTTACTTATCTTGGTGTTTCTTCACATGTAGAGTGATCGCTTGAAGCATGTCTTGGACCTCCTGAATACTTTGAACTCACTATGCTTGGTCCTTGGTATAGATTTCAAGGAAACAGTTAATGAGGTTCATCATAGTTTAGGTAATAATTCTGAAGGAACGACAAACATAAGTAATGATACTATTGAGCAGTTGGGAATCGTAATACAACGATTGAGAAAGGTTAAAATACAGAGGATGCAACAGGTAATTAATGGTTTAAATTGGTTTCCAATTACTTCAAATTTATTTTATTCTTTAATTTGTAGACCTATTTACCTTTCAAAGTGTGGCAGCTCCAAGATCTTGCAACTTCCTTGTTGGAGCTTTGGAACTTGATGGACACACCAATTGAAGAGCAACAGATGTTTCAGAACGTTACCCGTAACATAGCTGCTTCAGAACACGAGATAACGGAGCCCAACATGCTTTCTTTGGACTCCATCAATAATGTGAGTCTTATTGATTTTGAACATGATCGATGTTTTTTTTACTTCTCATGGTAATTATGTTTGCAACAATCAAAATACATTTTTCTTTTAAGGGGAACTGAAAAAAAAACCTTATCATGTAGGTTGAGGCAGAAGTTTGTCGGCTGGAAGAGTTGAAATCGAGCAAAATGAAAGAACTTGTTTTGAAGAAAAGGTCAGAGCTAGAGGAGATTTTTCGGAATACACATGTGAATCCAGAATCAAATAGTGCATTGGAAATTGCTATTGAAGCTATTGAGTCAGGTATTTAAGTTGTTATAAGAGAAGTATCATGATCTAATATCTCTGTGATGTCTTTTAATATTATGCATCTAATTTTTTGATTTAGGGACTGTGGACTCTGCTTTTGTCCTTGAACAAATTGAGCTTCAAATTGCTAAAGTGAAAGAGGAAGCCTTTAGTAGAAAAGATATACTTGAAAAGGTTGAGAAATGGTTGGCTACATGTGAGGAGGAATGTTGGCTTGATGAGTATAACATGGTTGGTTGTTTTCTTTGTACTTGTATTTTCTATTCGGGTAATTATACTTTCCACGCCTATGATTTGACACAAATTTTACTTTGGTTCCTATGGTTAATTTGAATAATTTGGTCCTTACACTTCAAGTCCAGTTTCAATTTGGTTAATCCATTCAAATTTTCATTAATTCTTCCTATTTGTACACCTTAGGAGTTTGACAAGTGTTCAAAAATTTTTAATTTTAACATCAAACTTGAATGGAAGGACCAAATTGAAATTATACTTGAAGTGTAGGGATCAAACTGTTTAATTTGAAATAGTAGCTACTAAAGTGAAATTTGGTCATACTAAAGGAGTTAGAATTGTAATTTTCCCTTTCTATTTCATTACTTCTGCATGAAACTTCTTGTTTAACTGCCACCCTGATGTTTGTATAGGATGAAAATCGATACAATGCTGGAAGAGGTGCTCATCTTACTTTAAAGCGTGCTCAGAAAGCTCGAGCTTTAGTTAACAAACTTCCAGGTATAGATTGCATCATGTCACTTGGCAACCATTTTTTGCTAGAATCCTCAAAAAGAGAATCCTCACTTGGCAACCATCATGTCACTTGGAAGCCAAGTTCAATAGTGGGTCAATTTTTTGTACTTATGTTTGTCAAAGTTCATTTTTTTTTGAACTAATGTCAAAGTTCAGTTTGACCTAATATTATGTACTTATTAATTCAGTGTTGTGTTGGTACAGGAATGGTGGAGGCATTGGTTTCGAAAACCACATCATGGGAAAGCGAGAGAGGCATTGAGTTCACTTATGATGGTGTTAGTGTTTTCCCATTTGTAAAAAAAAAAAAAGATTTGATTTTTGAAACAAGTTGGTTTCAATTCCTCTATATTTTTTTTACTTACTCTCTTTAAGCAAACTTGTGTGTCTGTCCAGATTCGTCTTCTTTCTAAGCTTGAAGAATATACCATTTCACGACAAGAGAAAGAGCAAGAGCGCAAGAGGCAGAGGGTATGTATGGACTTTATTATTTTACTCAATAATGGACTCACTTGGGTATTTCTTATCCAAATTGTGTAGTTATGGCCTGTGCAAAAATATTGATTTTATTTCAGGACCAGAAGAAATTTCAGGGGCATTTAATGGCAGAATGTTCAAAACCAAGTAGTCCTATGAAGCTCCAAGGTGGGAAAAAGGATCTTAGATTTTCACTGAGCAATAAACGACTCACAGTTGGAGGAAAATCTGATCCTAATACACCACGCCAAGCCAAGAAGAATGATCGTTTGCTCCCAAATGACCAGTTAAATCAACCCCAAGATGATGAATCTGTAACTTCATCAAATGGTAATATTCTTCAAACTACACTTTTTTAGGTTTTTATATTTTGATTTTTATTCATTTTGTTTTTTTCTATTCTTTGGGGTTAAGATGGGAAGTTGGCAAATTCCCAAAGAAGTTGCATTTATGAAAGACTTTTGAAATAGTTTTGTAAAATCTTTTTACCAGTAAAAAAGTGATAAACAAATATTTATAACATGACAACCTTATAAAAGTTTATGATGCTGCTTTTAGGAACTTGATAAAAATAAGTACAAATTTATGACAACAATGTGTCCTACTCTTCATATCAAAAGATTACTTTCACATTGTTTTTTCATTTCATTTTCTTAGGTAAAGGTTAGAATATTGCTGACCTCCCTCTAAAGAGGAGCACTGTTTGAATGCAGTAAACACTCATGAAGTAGAGTCACCCATGAAGCGAAAACCCTTCATACTCATCTCTTCCAAAGAATCATCTAAGTCTAACACAACAAATGAAACAGAAGATTGGACTAGAAATCAAAATGACACGTCACAAAAGAATACACTTCGAAGCAACAATACAAAAGAAGAAGAGAATATGACTCCTAAAGTAATGCCAAGTACCGAGCCAATTGAAGAGGTTTCAGAAGATATCGAATACTCCTTTGAAGAAAGAAGAGCCGATTTTGTACTTCCTAGAACACATACAACATCTAAAGACAATAACACAAGTGCGATTTATCAATGACTTAAGGTGATCTTGAGTCTCATATTAGTGTCATTGCATTCTTTGTTCTTTTTATTCTTCTGGGTTATGTGATTGGTGAGTCAATTTTCATTGGCTTCTCTAATTTGTACATACATAGTTTATGAGTTCTGAACATGAGCTAACTTTCGTTTGTCATATTTTTTTGGGGATCAATGTGAGCTATCTTCAAATTTTGATTTGATTGCTTTTTTCCAATTAGTTTAACATCATGTGGAAAATTTGTGAAACAATTTAGCGAAGTGTTTCCAAGTATATGGAACTGCGTTGCTGAATACTGTAGAATCAAGGACTCTCCCATTGTACATAAAGTTATAGCTAGTAGTAAGGGTGTAACTTTATTTCCTAAAAGGGTACAACACCAGCACCACAGCCGACTGTGACTCGATCCAAACCCATGCCTCCACCACAGCAGGTGGCTGGCCCAAACTCAGGCCTATAAATACTAATGCTGCAACAATGCTGTTTAGCTTGGTATAACAATGCAAAACAATAAAAATGGATATTAGCATGGACTTATTTGAGACACCATATTTTGTCCACAAAAAAGTATAATAATAACAACAACAAAGTTCACTGGTTTTCGTCAGATTAAATGCCATTACTAATAAAGGTAAATTTTGCATTAGCTAATCTCCCATGGCAATTAGTATATTCACTAGCAGTTGACTCTCGTGTGATGCACATAATAATATAATTTTTGTCAAAATAATATTGTAACTCATATATAAATTTTAGTTGAATTATTTATATGTATGTCAATGTAGATATTCATATAAAATTATATTAAATGTATGTTGCAATGTATATGCAATGCAGAAAAATAATCTTAATCATATTGTATTACAAAAGTGTAAGTTAAATAAATGTGATAATTTAGTTAAATTTATATATATATATATATATGTTTATTATGTGTACATACACATAAAGTTAAATTAAAAATATATTGCGACATATGTTATACAGAATTATAATTTTAGTTTGATAAATACTATTGCTTCATATCATTTTTATTTTTTAACAAGCATAATTTAAAAAAAAACTTAAAAGGCTTTATTGGGTTCCGTTTTCAAAATTTGCTTTTCTAGAATTTTTCAAAAAAAAAAAAAAAAAAAGAAGGAAAAAAAAAGAAAAAAAAGGAAGAAGATAATTTAGGTATGAATATTGGTGTTTTGGATGGATTTATGCCATTTATGCTACTCAGTTACAACCAATCTAATTTTCTTCTTATTCATTTAGTGTGAGTGAGAGTTACGGGTACTGGTGGATCGGGTTAGGTCGGGCGGCCTTTCATCTGTCTTCTGTCCAAATTTAGGTAGATTGGAAAAAATAAATTTGCATCCATTTGCTTAGTTAGTGGATGTAGATTGAGTAGGCCATGTTGGTTGTCGGGTGGATGCGGATCGATTTGGCGGTTTGAGTTTTACTCTTTTATGCTTTTTTTGAAACTATTTTAGAGTATTTTTTTTACTATTTTGAGCCTTTATTTGAGTCCAAAATTTTTTATCCTTCATTTTTTATAATTAAAATAAAGGCCAAATTTTTATATTTCATAAGTAGCTAATATTATTACTAAATAAAATGTTCTTTTTCTAAAATACAAAGTATAAAAACATAACATCATTTTTAGGGGGTGTTGGAAATTTGAATTGGGTCGAATGGCCTCTCATTCATCTTCTGTCCGAATATAGACGAATTTGAAAATTTCCATCCGCATCCATTCACTCATACTATCAAAACTGCTAAAAATCAGATGGATTGGGTGGGGTTAATCTGTTTTGACGGATTGATCGAGTCCATGAGTGACAATTTTTTTTATTTCAACTTTTAATTTTTAAAGCTAAGTGTGGACTGGACCTAAACCCAATGCTAAGGCTGAGAGTTTGGGCATGTAGTGGAGCTCAACTTTACCAAAATCTGCTTGAATTATACAATTCAAATAAACATCACTTATGCTAAAAAAATAAGGGCGATTTGGTGATAGATCTCTAAATCTAACATATCTTTTAAAAGGATAAGAATTATATGGATCTTTTCAAAATTTCATAATATTTTAAAACTTATTTCTTTTACTATAATACCCTTATATATATGTGTGTGTATTAGATTGCAATCACTCATTCTCTCTCATCTCAATCTCTTTTCTCTTTGTCTCACTCTTATCACTGTTGCTTTCCATCGACGCCATCGCTGCTCTCTAATGGTGCTACCGTCGCTCACCATGGAACTCTTTCTCTACTGTCTTCATCGCCACTGCCACTCGTCGCATCTACAACCTTAGATCTGAGATTATTCACAGTCGTCGTCGCTGAAAAATGATGGTTTTTGACGATTCACAAACCTAAGATCTGAGATCCTTAACACTCTATCTAGTTCTGATGGTTCATGCTATCTGTGTGTGTGTGTGTGTGTGTGACACACCATCTTTCTCTCATTCTTTTTCTTCTTCTTCTCATGATCCTCTGTTTTTGAACTCTGTCCCCCCTATTTCTCTTTCTTCTTCTCATGAAACTTTGTTCTTCGAACAATAAAATTTTACTCTGATTCATGATACAACACTCTTTGTAAAGCCATTCTCGTAGCTTATCTGTAATAAAAAAAAAAGAGTAAAATTTTACTCTGAATATGATTCAAAGTAAAATTTTAATGTCGTTAAGCATATCAGTATGTTGTTAACTAGAGTAAAATTTTACTATTAGAAAAAATAGAGTACATACTAAATGAACGAACCAGAGTCAAAATTTATTTTTAGATCTATGAACAAACAAACAAAAAATTCTTGATTTTTCATTGTAATATCTTGATTTCTCATTTTTCTATCAAATCTAAGGTTTTTTTTTTAAATTTATTTTATTTCATTTTATTATATGTCAGATCTAAAATTATTGATCTCAAATACGAGTTCGTATGTATTAAATCTAAGATGGTGGTGGTTTGATGGTAAAAATGGTGATTACCGGCCGATGGTGAGGATGAGCAACACCAGTAGATGATGAAGATGGAAGAGATGATGAACAACCATCGAGTTGGTGAAGAGAGAGAGAATGTGTTGTCAAATAAAATATTCAAATAACAAATTTTTGTCCTTCATATAAGATTTTATAATTATGAGGGAGTTTTGAAAGTACTAATTTTTTATTTATTTTTGGGTCCTTTTAACAAGAAAATGAAATTAGGAGGGCTTATGGCCAATCCCAAAAATAATAAGTAAATGTCACATGATTAGAGTAAAGTACTTTATTTATATTTTGGATTTGGGTAGAAATTGGAAAAATTAAGGCCAAAACCTATCCAAATTGTTTTAATTGTCAAAATTATTATATAAGAAATTATTTTTTTAGAAAATAAAAAGGTCCATTTGGTGCAACTTCTTGCAAGTTAAAAATTGATAATAAAAAATAAAAACCAAAACCATTTCTTCCCTAATGTCAAAATAAAATTTTTAATTTAATTTATTTTTTTTAGAAGAAGTTGCACTAAATTGTTTGGCCGAGACCCTCAATTCTCAATTTTTTTTAATAAAGTAGAGTGATTTTTCAAAATATCTCTCTCACACAAGTGGTTAGAACGGCTGAGATCAATCCATATTTTTTTTTATTATCTATCTAATAAAGTAGAATGATTTTTCAAAATATCTCTCACACACAATTGGTTAGAACGGTTGAGATCAATCCATCTATGAGATTAACGACTGGATTCGCTTGACCAAAAATAAAATTCCCATCCCAAGAAGCTTCAACACTTTCCTAGCACCTTCTTTCTTTCTTTCTTTTTCTTTTTTTTTCCCTATTCTTTTTCTCTCTTCTCTCTTCTTAAATATTTTGCAATTCACTCCCCATCTCTTTTCATTTCTTTCCTCATTTTATGCACAAAATGAAGGATTCTCTGTTTATATAAATTTGAATAAGTTGACTATAATAATTGATTGCCAAAGTTATATAAAAAATGTTGTACTTTCATTCATAATAGAAATTACCTATTTCTCTACTAGAATGTTTTCATGACTTTATAAATTTCTGACTATTTTTTTGCTGGACTTTCAATTTTGGTGCACTTTTTCTTTTTGTACAGTAGTGATTATGCATGGAAATCCATCCCTATCCTTCTCCTACCATCTACCTCCCTTGCTATTGTTCATGGCCTGGCCAAAAGTAGAAGTCATAGTAGAAGAGAGAATTCTTATATATATACATATATATATATATATAATTTTTAACTATTTTCTTTTCTATTATTTTTAAAGCCTTTTGTTTATTTTTTTTTCTTAAATCTTTTTCATTTTAGCATAGTGATGATGACTGTGTGGGGACATAATTTTGGGTTGCCCACGTGGCCTGGATTGTGCACGTGGCCTAGATTGTTAACCAAGATGCAGGGTTGTTGAGGTACGATGCGATCATACTAAAATCCAAGATATTCGGATAGAGGACAAAAGTCCTAGAACTACTTGTTTGGGTAAGGTTGAACTTTTGAGAGAGTCAATGCTATTTCAAATTGGAGGAGTCCTAGATAAGTGTTATCCTTATAAGGGATAGAGTTTTATGAAGTAAGACTTTTAGGGGAAAGTGGATACTAAACATTATATAAAGAAGGCACTCCCATGAGTCTAAGGAACACTTTACTTTAGAGTTATTTGTTTACTTGAGCCAAGATATTTGTGAGATCGTTTGACTGACTTGGTCATCGGAGTGCTCCTGGGTGGAAGAGCCACCGGTCTTGTTTCTCTTTGTATGCATGTAATAACCCGACCCTCGTACATGTTCTTTGTTATATTTTCGGATCCTATTTCGTGATTTGAATGCTTACTGTGAAATCCTATGGAAAATTTAAATTAAGTAAGTGAACCATATGATTAAGGATGTCTATTTGTTTAACAAGAAAAGTATCTGTCACATTAGAAGGTTTGAATCGAAATTGGAGGCCTTAAGGGCTTAATTACCTGAAATTGATTTTATATATGTGATCAGCATAATTTTTAGGTAATATTAAGCATTTTTGGGAAATTTCAATTTCGGATGTTTAAACGATTGACTTTTGTCTTATTAGCTCTTATAGCTCTTATAAATATGTATGTGTTCTTTAAGCTTTGGACTTAGTTCAACATATTTCCTGGAAAAGGATAGTAAGAGTAGAGAGAAATGAGAAGGGAGTTTCAATAAAGGCTAGAGATTGAATAACCTGG